TCTGATGTGGCCTCCTCCAAGTCTCCCATCTTTGCCTACTGATGCAACCGCCTCGCACCAATTAACTTCAGCCTCATGCCAAAAAGGGCATATAAAGGCTAAGGTCATTGAAGCAAAGCAGAACTCCACCGCTTTGGCATGCAGTTTTTGCAGTTCTATGGTATACTATTCCTTCTGACGCTCCTACCAGTCTCCATTCTCGGTCACGGTGAGTTACACATCTCCTCCTGTTGACACGACTGTGCAGGCTCCACCATCGAGTCCATCATTGACAGCATCATGAAGGATGCACCAGAATACTTGGCTACAAATGCTAAGAAATTCCAATTGGAATCTGTTGGAAGTCTCGTTCGCTCCTGTCCTCTTTCATTTTACGAGACTCTGTTCAATGGGGACATCACCTATACCCTCAGCACTTGCATCAATGCAACCCACTTGGTATTAACTCCTCCCACTTCAGTGAGTTTTCTGCACAATATACTTTATTACATTAATTACATCCGCTTCCTTTTTCTCTCCACCAGCACATTGTAGTTTGCAGTTATATATCACAATTTTACTATTGAGACATTTAAATACATAAATTGTGGGAGATTTACAGCCCCATATTTCTTTGGATGAAAGCTTAACAGTCATTTTGCCACACCTTCTTGAAGGCCATTTAAATCTTCTGTTATAGATATTTCAAAGCCGATTTTGTGATTCAACTAACATTTTATTTTGATAACCATTGTTTTTTCGCATTTTAGATTGCAAATAAATTGGAAATCGGGAAGGTAAAGCTGGTTATTTCTGTGCAAGTGAAAAAAGCCATCTATCCTGAGGTTAAACTGGAGTTGTCGGCACCGGTCTTTGATGATGCATATGCCTATGCATGGTGGTCATTTGGATTGCCCGTACCAGCTGGACCATTCAAAGGGACAATAATCAGTCAAGCCGAAACGAGGATTGCAAGTGAGCTTCAAGCCTTCATATCAGCCCTTGGCTAAAGCATTTTATGTGCCTTTCACCACTGTCTCGCCTCGACCTCCATTTGACGCAATCACTGTGTATCGGTGAATATGAAGCAGTGTACCACTGCATTCCCTCCACAGTAACCCCCTCCACCCAACCGTCTTCAACCAGTACCGTCCCTGCATCATCTTTTGTTGGAAGTTTTCCAATTGCTCAAAAAAGAGCCTTTCAAGTAAATGGATTATTATTACTTCCACGGTTCGGGTGGTGCATGGAGAAGCTGAAGGACTGCGTCAATCCTGGTGGATTTAATCAATGGTAAAGATATGAATATGCTTCCATGCCACAACGATCCTTTTAACAGTCTTAAAAGTAATAATAACACCAACTCAGTGGCGTCACTTGCCGTGTGTTTCTGTAGCACACCATTGTAAGCCAAACACTGACCCAAATGTGAGGGAATCGGCAAGGTGCTGGAGAAAAATTGCATAAGCAAAGGCTTGTAGACACAAATCAAAGCATACCTTTTGCTCCAACTACTACGAGATAGTCCATGCTTTAAAATCACCCACGAGATAGGAATAGAGACCACTGACAGCCCTCAAACTACAGCATTAAATAAGCAGAGTTAATTCCATAACAAAAGTATTCTCACTTATTGTTGAAGTTAGTACCAATTTTGTGGCACTTGGTTTATCAGCTGAGATATTTAATGCCAATATTAGGCCGTACAAAGGTTGGTATCGATGGAAATGAGACACAGTTATGACTTCGGTAGACGGTTGCATAAATTCTCGCTAAGCCGGTCTCTACACGAGTTCGCATATCGCTATCGTACTAAGGGTGAAGTTCTCTCTCTCAGAAGACCCAAGCACACAACAAGTAGTTGCGGCTACTTCTACCGCATGTCAACACCCGACAAACATCTCAGTGGCGTCAACTTTAACCACCAAAGCCTAATCCTTAAGTTCACTTCTACCTCATTTATTATGGCAATTTTATGTCTTCTTTTACACAGTGTTAGACGAGGGTCATTCACAAAGTTACTTGCACACACTACTATACACATTACCCTTAAAGTGTCATGGCGACAAGCTGACACGCGTGATGATAATGCCATCTAAGATGACTTTTGAGCCTCCCATGGTGACCTTCTGGTGTAACCACTTCTCACCAATGAGCTTCAGCCTTATGGTACAGGGTCTAAGAATGGTGACTAAAGCAGCAAAGCAGAACTCCACGTATCTGGAAAGTTGATCTTTCATTTCAATGGTACATTGCTTCTGGTGTCGCTTGTTTCGGTCTCCCCTCTGGCGTAAGGTGAGTGAAGCATCTCCATCGAGTTCATCATTGATAGTACCCTAAAAGGTACACCAGAACACTCAGCTACAAAGGTTGAACAATTCTGTGCTTCTTTCTATTTTCCGAGACCCTACTCAAAGCAGAGGTAACTCACAATTTAAGTTAAGAATCTCTCCTTATGCTAAGGCAGGTCAATTGCTCTGGTGATTTGATTGGATGCGCATCCTTCTTCAATTTCTTCTCATTTTCTACAATTGAATTGTTGCACTCAAAATACACGCTAAGTACAAAGGTTAACAATAAGGATTTGCCCTACTTTTTAGAAATCGCAATAAACCAATCACTTGTAAAGCCTCCATAATTTGTCTCCTTTTAATTATTTTCATGCAATTTATTTTAAATAAAAGATAACAAAAAATTCTGGCACATTTATATTCGAAGCATTACCTCCTATTGTTACACACAGAGAAGGATCTTTTTGCCTAGCTTGTGGCAGATTGTGAAGCACGGACTACCTCCCCGTAGCCGACTCAAAAGGGTACTGCAGGGAGTGTCGAGGGTGACGCATAGAGTGGAGAGCTGTGTAGTGGAATAATATATATTTTATCCGTGCATTTGACAAGCAAGGCTCCTTAGTCTCCGTCTTTGTTCTCCATGTGGGTAGCGAAGCAGTTTGCTCACGCAATCCCCTCCAGTGTTTTGTCAATTCTCCCCATATCTAAGGCAGCAGTTTGCCTAGAAATACACCACAAACCATACTACCAGACCAGTGCGTAATTCACCTTTGAAACGATTATAAGATCCTCATATTAAATTAACACGCACAGTTAATCTGTTCCCCTTTGTTGCAGCTATTTTAGAGGGCAAAGTTTGCTCGGTTGAATGTTAAAGTCTCCTGAGTAGCAGAGTCAGCGTGTGCTGTGGCAGGGTATCAGCACAACTGGAGGGAGACAGTTTTCCAGATTCACTAGGCACAACCGCATCATAGACGTCTCAATAATCTATTCCACCCAGTAAGTCTCTACAATCGTACGATTGCACCACCTACAACAGCACGTAATCTACAAGTCAACAGGAGGAGGCTATTTAAGCTGCAGACGTCACTGAAGTAGGAATGCAGTGGCTCACTTATTTACACTAAGTGGTGCACAGTGATTGCGGTAAAGACGGGTAGGACTGGAAGTAAAGATGGAATAAACTGAAGTCGGGGGAGAGAGTGAATGATAGAATGCACATGAGATGCTGCACACGAGGGCGGATACAAAGGCCAGGATTCCGCCTTCAATCATTGTTCTGGCTTGACTTATTATTGCATCTGGTACGAAAATCCATTTGACCACCAAGCATAGACATATGCACCGCCGAAGACCAAGCGCACATTTCCACTTTAACTGGGGGACGCATGGCTTTTTTATTTGCATAGAAATATCCAGCTTCGTCGTCAGAATTTTTACTTTCTTCGCAATCTTAAATGTAAAAGTGTATGGCCGTTGGAATAAACTGTCAGGTGAACAGGCAAATCAACTTCAGAATGTCTACGATGAACTGGCTCCTCTAAATAAGTTTTCCTTGGGACATCATAACTCACTTTTTAAAGGCTATTCATTCATAGTTATCGAAGTCTTCCAATCTCTTGAATTTGCTCGCGGGGATTACTTATCCAAAGTATTGCTTTCATTTTAATGTCGTCTCTTTGACGAAATACCGTCGCAGTTCTGTAGGTAGATATTGAACAGTGAATCAAAATCAGGAGTGCAGCAACTGTGCCTTTTATTGTCAAACCGATGAGGTAAATGGGATGATGGTAATATTTGCCACTGGGAATAGGCTCCACCATGGGTTGTGGTATGTCGTTGTCCACACCTAGCTGCATCGTAAGCTAATCTCACCGGATCCACCTCAGGTACCAGCGTGTCCGCTCCTGATCGCATGCAGCTGCAGTAAGCGCCACCACCACCGCCGCCACACGCTTTCGATCGCAGGGCTCCCGCGCCCCATCATGACACCTCCCCCCTATCATCATCAAGTGTATCGCCATCCTATTGAGCGCTCGGAGGCTGTCCACCACTTTGACGAACCAACTAGAAATGCTGATCTATTTCTCTTATGCACTTGGCAACTTCACTTCCTACATACGTTCTCCTTTTTTTATTCGGTGTTGAAGGGTTCGGTTTTTGGAAGTGGTCGCATTTTCCACACATTGACGGCAAACGTGGTAGCGAATCAATGATTACCCCTTTTAAAATGTCGGGTAACGTTATCAAGGTCGGGTCTCGGTCTCTCCGTTCCGATTCGTTGCCTTGGTACACAGGACTGACCACCCTCAGCCTTAATCCGCTGCATTCTGAGAGGCAGACTCCCAACTCCGAATTCATTCATTCCCAGTCCTGACCTTCATAAGGTAGACAGCGCTAGCTGTGGCTGCTTCTAGGCAAGGAGTGACTGCTATCCAGCTGCCTGCCATGGGTTCATGATGTGGAAGTTAAGTGCGGGTTTCCATCCATGCTACAGTCTTCAACCTGTTGGTTTTACTTTCAGTCGTTCCTTCACAGTGGTAATTTTACCACAGTATAAATACCTAACAATGTCCCTTCCATGGACCTATTTTAAAGCTCAAGGTTTGCTCGTTTGATTCCAAAAACTCCAAGATTGAGATACTAGTAGGATCACTGTGTGCTGTGCCATGGAAGCATCAGTAAAAAAATAACGAGAATTCAGTTCTTCTGGAGGGAAACCGTGTTTCAGTTTCTCTGTGCGTGGCTCCAACCGTAAAAGTACCACTTATTTATTTCACCGAGAAAGACGCTTTATTCATGAAATTTCACTATTTCAAACAACACGCGATGCACAAAGGCAACTGGTGGAAGCCGTCTGGGTTGTAGGCGTTGTTGAAGTGCGATGTTTCAGCCGAGGATGGATACGAAGGCTCGAAGTTCACTTTCAACCATTTTCTTGGCTTGACTAATTATTTTACTCCTAAGTAGATCGGTTGGAAGAGTAAAGAACCGCTTTTTGACATATGTCTTATCGAAAACCGGCGCTGATAATTCCACTTTGACATCAGGACGCACGGCTTTTGTAACTAGCACAGATATATCCAGCTTCTTTCGCCCAATCATCACTTTGTCCACGAGCTGAAATGTGGAATTCAATGTCATAAGTTTTTAATTTCCCTGTCACTGCTTAAATTGAATCTTACATTTGATACTCTTTGCCACAGCTCAGCAATGCAAGCACATACTTCTGCTCATTGCAGACTGGTATTCCGCCAGTTTTCCTCACCTAGAAATAGATCTTTCCTTCAAGAAATAACTGTAAATTACCATAATCTTAGACACTTCTTTCTCAATGTATAATTATTGACCCAACAGCCATTTTGACATCGCCATTCACATTTTTAATAATAATAATTCTAAATAATGGTAATTCATAATAATTTTAAACATTGTTGAATATGAAATGACCAAGATTGTAAAAGGTAGAGTAAAAAATGAACTTCAGAATGAAACGCGTTTACAGTTTGCCCAGAAAATATTCCATTTTTTGGCGATAATTTTGTAATGTCTTAAAAACCATCTATTCAGCTGTCCTGTTTGTGGCTGCTAAATTCGCAACAATTTTAGCCTTCCACCAGTGGTCATTTCGGGCTCAAAATTATACGTCAACAGAATTTTTTGCTTTCGGGTTTAATATTGGGCTGCACATCCAAAAGTGTGTGAAAAATTATTAGAGGAGATTACCTGACAGCACATATTCAAGCATGTACATCCAATTTCCATGCTTAAACACCGTTGGCGAAAATCAGGCCCTAACCAAGGTTACGGGTTATGGCGCAAAGTGTCCTCATAATTATCAACGCATCACTTAGTAATCTAATGTGTCAAAGTAACCGCAGGGTTATTTGAATAGAATATGGCTCTTGTGATGAACGAACACGATCATTCTTTAACTCCTATTAGGATAGCGAATCAAACGCAAATAATTTTGGATTTTTCCTGTAAAGTTATTTGATTCAGTTATCACTTTGTCTGCTGATGTTATGGTTCTAGTTTTGAAATATACACATACTGCACACTTTTACTGCGTTATCCTACTAGTTGCAGACGAGTGTCATTTGTGATGGCATCGCCCCTCCGACACGTTTTGTGCCTCAGAAATTCTTAAATAGCTCAACAAATTGACGATTATTACTCCTACAATGTCTTGCCATTTGCATATTATTCATCAGAACTATAGCTCCATGACAACACGAGATCACTTTGAGTGAATCAAAGAAATGTAGCAAGCCCTTTGCACTTTGCTTCGCTAAACCTTTGCCTTGATATTTGGGTCTTTGTGAATGCGTATATCTGTGCTTTGATTGCGATTATTAGATTTCAACTGGCGATTTGTCTCTGCAACTAATGGAAGAAGGAATATCAACGCCGATGGTATTACTAAGACTAACTACCACGGACTCACCAGTTCTTTGCTAGTAAAGAGGGGGATGTGCTATACACGGTTGACTGAATGCACCTGCTAGGCGAGAAACGTTCAGTGAAGCAAAATCTTGCAAGGGAACGGTTATCCATCCTCAAGGGAGGATTGTACTATGAACGAGCACAACCCCGACCATTTTGCTCGGTTTATAAGAGAAGAATAATAATAAAGATCAAGTAGAAAGAGGTGAAGGCCGAACCTATTATAATCAAATAATTAGTATTGTTTAAGTGATAAGGCACATTCAGTATTTTAGCAAAGACTTTCGTGGGTAATTATTAAAATTAATGTAAATGTAAACAGCTTACTAAAGTTTGTTATATATTTTTGAGAGAATTCTTCGGATAGAATATTTAAGACTGAATATGGCGCTATAATCCTTGTTTGCTTAAATGCGCCTTTTGGACGAGAGGCGGCCATAACAAACAAAGAGAATACAAGCCCAAACACTTTAATCCGCAATATTTGTATCCCCTTAATATTCCATCAATTGGAGCATGTCCTCCCCAAACTCGTCTATTTGTTCTAAGAGCATGATGGCTAAGGAGGAAGAGGTGAACGCTGAACCTATTAGAGTATATTTGTAAAATGACAATCTTAACTAATTTATAATTAAGCATGAATTTTTCGGCTTGAAGAGTAAATTATTCCTGTTTTAATATCCGTACTAAAAAGGTCTGTCTTAAGTTTAAGCAGATTACACTTAATCGTATAAAATTGTGCGGGTAGCAATTTATCACCAAGTTTCACAGAGAACTTGTTGCAAACGCAGGCCCTCAAATTGCAGGATATATTCAAAGCAAGTGTCGCCTTTCCCTGCTGTCACAAATACATGGAACCTTTAAATAAGTAAATTTATTTGGTGTTTTACAGCATTCAAAAATGGCGTGGTCGCTTGCGACTCCTTTTAACCTCTGCCAAAACTTTATCTTTACTTCATATTAATTATAAATGCCCAAAAACTATAATCAGTATTTATGGGTTAAGCTAATGCTATTCATTTGCAAAAAAACTTGTCTATCCCTTGGCTTGCTGTGACAAAGATGTCTTTATGGTATGGAAAAAATCATTAGAAAGTAAAGAAAATGTCATGAATAGCAGACATTGACTCGAATTCAACGTGTTCTTCAATCTATTCAACAAATACATCCTTTAGACACAAAGAAATCTTCAAGCAGGGACTAAGTCACAAATTGTGAAAATCACTAAAGAAACAATGGTCTCACTCCCACTGTGGATTGTTGAACTTTCTGCTTAAAAGCAATAGATCAAGAACTAGGGAGACTGTTAAAGAAGACAGGGTGATAAAGTGGGGTTGGCATTATTTGCAAAATAATAGCGCGGGAGCGAGAGGAGGCGCAAACTATTTGACGCACACCATTCAACGGTGATCGTCTGCAAATACATCAGCTAACTGCGACTCCAATAGCAAAAAAAAGAGGGGGCACATTCAAGCAACCGAACTCTTTTGAAGACATTTCGTTCTCATTATCTAACCACAGGATCCAAAAGTGGTTCGCTTACTGGAAAGCAACATGATACAAAAACGATCACAGGGATTCGTGATAGACTACTTCTTCTCTCCTTTGGCGAACCACGTGCAGTAAAATCTGAGCCTACTCATATTTTCAACACTTTTATTTTCAAATGATTAAAATGAAGCTAGACAGCTAATGCAAAGCCTGGGTAATTTTAGTTACTACTTGCTTTTTAAATATGCTTTGAGTCAGATGTGTGGTAATTCTGCCTTGATACCATCCAAGATGACAGATATCTTCGCCAGTAGGTTCATAAAAACGCCATTTAATAAGCAGGTTAGCTAATCGACTCTTTTTTTGTTTTTGCAAAAACTTTCAACTAGAATGATCCATTGGAGTTAAACTGGTTGCTTGGGCACTGATTTTTGGTCAGTGTTGGTTTATAGTATTATTTTTCAGTGCTAAACAATCTCTTTAAAGTCCTTTAATACAACTTGGTCATGCACAGCAGCAGTTGATGTTTTCATTATTTAAAAAGGGCTAGGCATTATGAGAAGAACGTGGGCACGGCTAAACTTAATTTAAAAATTCTAAATAGATTTTGGGATTTTACGAAAGACATAAAATGTAGATATGGCTAATGGTTGCTTTATACCGAAAACGTACTATCGTGGGTGGTTTTATTTAGATCAGAAAGTTTTATTTGTTCTGTTTGACTTGGATCTCTCTGGGTCTTGCCTGAAGTCGATGCAATATATGCTGCTAGGCAGAATATTCACTGCCGACGTACAGAAGGGCTAACGCGCTACTAGCATGGCCCTAAGTCCATGCCGCTTAGCTAAAGTACAGTGGGGAAGATTTCGGTCCCCGAAGAAATAAATAAGCAACCAAGGTATTATGCTACTTCATGGTTCGCAAAAGCCACATTACCAAAAGTGAGTTTTCCCTTAAGTCCGCATTGGTTCCACTTGTTAACGGTCAACATCCATCGCTTCGTTAAAAAGATTCCGTGGATAGCTTTGTTAAATTTTAGGCAATTTTCTAGT